ACTGAGCAAAATACAAAATATAAATGTAGTGATCACTAGCTGAAGAATATTCTAGAGTACACGACTGAATCAATCAAAATTAATTTAAAACATATTTTTAAACAGAAAAATAACTAAAACTAAATAATATTAAATATGATGTAATATAACTGCTTGTTTTTACAACAATTGTGAAAGTTAAAAGGCCAGCAGCAGCTTTATTAATGTATAATGACATAAAAAAAGACTACGTTTCCCATAAGCTTTTGTACGCCGGAAGCAGCCAAACGCCGGACCGGATATCTGTACACGGCGCCCCGAAAAGGCCCTTTTCCGTCTCAGAGAAGTGTGGTACAGAACGGCAGACACAAGTGAGTGAAAAATTTACTTTTTACTTGCTTCATAAATCGTGAAAAAGGGACGGACGCGTATCCAAAATCACTGTGGATTTCCATTGTCCTGGAAATTCGTACAGAAAACTTCAGTTTAGTCGAAATGGCGTTTTTATTCCCTCCGAATGTTTCCGTACCAGCACAACAGCGCTGAGCGTTAGCATGCGACTAGCTCTGTAGCACATGTGGATTCTGCACGTTGAGTAGCGGCTCCGATAGATGTCAAATTCAGAACACTAATTCACAAAAAATGTCTATATTAAACTTAATTTCTTCCCTACTAATTAACTGATGCTGAATTTAAACGCGCACCTACGCCCGTTTATAGACGTTTGTAAGCTTAGAATCCGCTGTGGCGCAAGTTTGCTAGTGTTAGCGTGATGCAGGCTTCATCTCCGGCCTCGCTGTACTTGTGACTGTCATTGCTTCGCTAAATCTGACCAAACAGTCACTCAATCTCCTATTAATATGAGTAAATGTGCTTCCTGTTAAAGTGTCAAATCGTGGGGTTTTCTGCTTTTTGCTGGAAAGCTAACGTCACTTTGTTTGAACGTAACATTGAGTAGCAGCTCAGTCAAGCTACAGTAGTTTTCAGGTCATTCATTATACACAGATTCATTAAATAAAGTTCCATTTATAAGACTTATGTCACATAGAAATGTAATAGAGAGGCCACAGATTTGCAGTAAGGTCCACCTTCACAAACCCAAACTCTTACGTGTAAATGTTGGGGGGAAAAAAGACATATTTGTCATTTATAGTCCTGAAATTATAATTTTTAAAACAATGTGCCAGTAATGTTGTGGTGTTTCCTCAGTGACCGATTGGGAGACTGCCCCCGCTGTGGCTGAGACCCCAGAGATCAAGCTCTTCGGCAAGTGGAGCACCGATGATGTCCAGATCAACGACATCTCCCTGCAGGTGAGCGGCAGTGTGAAAGATTCACTGTTGTGCTGTTAAACGAGGCTAGAGTCACGCCTGGACATTTTCTGTTGTCTTGGTGTGCTAGAGTGCTCGTAGATTAAAAGTCTTTGCTTATTCATTGGCTG